ATGATTAGGGGATTTTTATCCACCAAGCGCCGTTTGACAAGTGGACCAACCAGGTTCCGCCACGCGTCCTCCACGGACCACTTAAGACACGCCACGTGTCCACCCATGCCAAATGGGACAACCGGCCATCAAGGCCCATTTCAGTCTAGAAGCCCGTTCGGCCCTAGGTTTACCTTAAACCTAGAGAGTTGCACGCTTCCCAAGGCTATAAATACTCGATTAATCCTCATTAATCGAGGGACCGAATACATTACGGAACACACTAATAACCGGCTGATCTCGCTAGCAAAGCAGATTACCTACATTAAATACTCTCACCTAGAGAGACCTTATTACTTTAATTTCTGTATTAATTACTCCTTAATCAGGTACTAACTTGACCGTTGGAGGCGGAGCTCTCAGGAGTCTCCGTTATTTTGCAGGTACAGGCGTCCGGTTCCAGTCTCGGAATTGTAACTCTCCCGCAGGACATCAGAAAACCCCGAAACAACTACCATTCACGCATTTCTCCAAAATGACCTTGAAGTCATCATCTTCCTTGTAGTATTCTTTGATTAATTCGAACCCAAGGACTTTCGCCTCAACGACTCCAAGTAAAGTATGCCTTCGAGGTAAGGCATCCGCAAAAACATTTGCCTTTCCACTCTTGTACTTTGATGAAAAGTTAAATGTTTGCAAGAATTCCACCCACTTTGCATGTCTCGAATTCAACTTCTTTTGGCCATGGATGAACCTCAAAGATTCATGGTCGGAATGAAGTATGAATGGTTGTGGCCTCAAGTAATGCGACCAATGATTCAAGGCTCGCACCATTGCGTAGAACTCCTTATCATAGGTGGAATAATTCAGCTTGCCTTGGCTCAATTTCTCACTAAAGTAGGCGATAGGACGCCCTTCTTGAATCAACACGGCACCAATCCCCTTTCCGCTTGCATCACACTCAACTTCAAATGGTTTTGAAAAATCTGGAAGTGCTAGGATGGGTGTATTGCACATTTTTTTCTTTGATCACTTCAAATGCCTTTTGAGCTTGAGGAGTTCACTCAAATGAGCCCTTCTTTGTGCACTCGGTGATAGGGGTCATGAGAGTGCTGAAATTACGAATGAACCTCCTATAAAAGGAAGCTAATCCATGGAAAGAACGGACCTCCGTGAGTGTCTTTGGACTAGGCCATGATTGAATAGCCTCAATCTTGCTAGGATCATATTTCACACCTTCTCCTGAAACAATGTAACCAAGAAAAGTGACCTCATATAGCATAAAATTACATTTTTCAAGTTTTCCATACAATTTTTGTTCTCTCAAAACCGTAAAAACTTTAAATAAATGTATCAAATGTTCGTCCCCATCTTTGCTATAAATAAGGATATCATCAAGGTACACCACCACGAATTTGCCAAGGAAAGGCCGCAACACCTCGTTCATCAACCTCATGAAAGTGCTAGGTGCGTTGGTGAGTCCAAATGGCATCACGAGCCACTCATACAAGCCGTGCTTGGTTTTGAAAGCGGTCTTCCATTCATCTCCTTTTCTCATCCGAATTTGATGATAACCACTCCTCAAATCCACTTTTGAAAACCACTTCGAGCCACTCAGTTCATCAAGCATGTCATCTAGTCTTGGAATTGGAAACCTATACTTGATAGTAATATTGTTAACAGCCCTACTATCAATACACATGCGCCATGTACCATCCTTTTTAGGGACCAAAAGAGCAGGAACATCACACGGACTCATGGACTCACGTACATACCCCATACTCATCAACTCCTCAATTTGTCGTTGCAATTCCTTAGTTTCCAAGGGATTACACCTATAGGCAGGTTTGTTAGGCAAAGGAGCACCCGGAATGAGGTCAATTTGATGTTCAATTCCCCTCAAAGGTGGTAACTCTTTCGGTAACTCATCGGGAAAAACATCCTCAAAATCCTTAATCAACTGAGCTAATTTGGGATTTTGACTCATAAAATTTCCGTGGATTTCTTTAGAGTACAACAAGTATAATTCCTCCTCACCATCAATTTCCCTTTCAAATTCCTTAAGGGTAAGCAATGACACCTCCTTTGATTGTTTAGGATTTTGTGAAAACCGTGGGGGTGGTAAAGGGTGCAATTTGTTTTGTTTTCCTTGGTGAGTTATAGTGTAAGTGTTATGGTACCCATCATGTTGAGATTTTCGATCAGTTTGCCAAGGTCTACCAAGCAAAATGTGACAAGCATCCATAGACACAACATCACACAGTTGAGTATCATGATAAGACCCAATAGAAAAACTAACCATGCATTGTTTCCTAACTCCCGTGCTAGAATAAGAGTCCAACCAACTCAACTTATAAGGATGTGGGTGATTTGTCGTTGTAAGACCAAGTCTAGCTATCAAGGTTTTGGAAACTGTGTTTGCCTCACTACCACCATCAACAATTAAATCACATACCTCGCCTTTAATCTTGCACTTGGTGATGAAAATATGTTGTCTTTGCGGTGCTAAGGGTTCGTCAACGCGAGCTTGCAACGCCCTTCTCACAACCAGATTTGTTTTGGGCTCTTCTTCGGGGAAGCATTGTTCTTCCTCCTCGTCCCCTTCATTAGAATTCACGTCCTCCACTTCTTCAACCTCGAAATCCTCCCAATTGATAGTTTGATTAGCAATAAGCTTTACCTCTTGTATGGTCAAAGCTCTGGAATTTGGACAATCCTTCTTAAAATGGCCCCTTCCTCCGCACTTGTAACAAACAATGTCACTCATTTTGAAATCTTTCTTGTCCTTCTTAGGTGGATCGTTGGCTTTGACAAAAGAAGAACCATCCTTGACAGGGAAGGTTGGTCTTCGTGCCACTTGAGGGGTGACAATCGGCTTCTTCTTCTTCCTTTTTGAATCAAACTTGATCACATATTTGCAAGCTTCAGCAAAGGTTAAGTTGGTGTAACCTTCAAGTTTGTCTTGCAACTCTTGATCCAACCCAGCCATGAAACGTCCCATCTTGAGTTCTTCATTCTCCGTGATTTCACACACGATAGAAAGTCTGTCAAACTCTTTGATGTAGTCCTCAACCGATTCTCCATTTTGTTGCAAAGTGCTCCACTTCACATATTGACTTTGCTTGAAATTGTGAGGAATAAAGCGATCCCTCATCCTTTTCTTTAACTTGCTCCAAGTAGAAATGGATGCCTTACCCCTAAGAGTACGTCCCCTTTGCTCTCCTTGTAGCCAGTTATCTCCATAGCCTTTCAACTTCACCTTGGCTATCTTGTATTTTTGGAACTCCTCTTGAATGTCCTTGTAATCGAAATACCTCTCCAAGGATTTCTCCCATTCCAAGTACTTTTCTAGATCAAGTGTCCCATCAAAGGCAGGGACGTCCACTTTGAGACTCCTATCTTCCCTCCTAGGTGGAGGGTCTTCGCCTTGATCTCTCCTATCATGCTCGTTCATGAGCCTTGCCATCAAGGCAGCAAGGTTCCCTTGTAGATTGGCGTTGGTTTCGGCCAACCTCTCTTGACTAGCAATGGATCGATTAAGAGCTTCCAAAGCTGTCCTCAAGTCTTGATTTTCTCCCATGGTATGTAGGTATTCGACCCCTTTGGAAGAATTTAAGAAAACTCTCCCCCTACCTGACGCGCCAAATGATGTGTAAGCAAGGTGAGAAACTTGTTTACAAACGGTCTGGAATGCGTGTTGTGTTTAGTTGAATTAGAAGTATCAATGTGGAGTAACTAAGAAGGATTAGGGGAACTCTCACCCTTAACCTTGAGGATATAACAATGAGGAACACTCACTCACTTGTTTGGGCGTAGTAGTGATTAGGGAACTCTCACCTATTCGATAACTACCAGTTTAAGTCTTAGGAACTCTCACTAAAACACAAACTCTTCAAATTGAGATAACTCTCAAGTTTGGAAAATCAAACCTGACTAGCACAAGTCAAATTTGGATCATACACTCGTGTGTTTCTTGCAAATTTCTGGAATGTCTTTCATTGATCATTAGCATGCTATTTATAGCTTTAGTACATCATTTAATTGCCACTACACTTAGCTAAAACAAGCAACAAATCAGAAATAACAAAACTGAAAAAAGGGTAGATTAAGTGGCTCATAACCGTCCAACTTAATCCCTATTACAACTAATTATTACTCTAATTAAGAAAGCTTATAACAAGGGAAGAATAACTCCCAAAACGTCCAGCAAATTGACTCCAACATGCTGTCCAAATTCGTCCTCCAAAGCAGCCTTGAAATGCGCCTTTGTAACCCCCTCATTTAAGCCTTCATTCAAGCTCCTTTATTACGAAGTTAAACCAGCTTGAAACTCTCCATAAGGTCTGCATTGAATCCGTCTACATTCCCCCACTATCAAGGTAATTAGTCACGCTCAATATGGTGCAACCAGTTGAGGAATTATATGGACCGTGCACACCAAAATCCATAGGAGTAGCATCGAAGAAAGTCTTGGACAAAATCAATTCCCTAACGTTCAACTCTTGGACTGGAATATCCGAACCTTGGCCACTTTGGTCAGATAATATAAAGTATCATCATCAACTCTAATCAACCCACAAGCATTCATACACATATAGACAATTAATACAAAAACAAACAATAACTATACAAAAGCTGATATATATCTAATCTAATATCTAAAAGGCATACGAGAAAGCAATGAACTAAAACAATGAGTACTTAGACAGCCAAGGGTTTGTCTTCAACCAAAAGGTCAGAAGCCAATTGTAAGCAATTCGAGCAGATGAAAATCGAGCAGTAATGAGTAATCGAGTAATAACATTTGAGCAATCAATTGAAGGCGATTACATCTGAAAATCCTAAATAAACAAGCCAACAACACAATTTTAGCAATGGTAAAACCTTATATTAACTATACTAACACAAATAATTAGCGAAATTGATATTCATTGATTAAAAAGCTTTATTGATTAAAAAACATTACCTCAGAAGTTGTTTCAATGGAGGAGAAAGCCCAGAACTGCTTCTGGCGCTTTTAAGGAGAGAGAAACTCACAGACGTTTAGATTGAGGAGAGAGAAAGTGAAAGCTGTTTGAGTTTGAGGGTTTATGATTTGTTTTAATCGTGGCCGTTCATATCAATCTAATCCTACGATTATAACTAGGAACTAGGGTTCTTATATAACCAGGGTTCTTATACAAGGATGAGTTCTTACCGAATCCCTCCCTTATTGGATCATGTGAAAACAAATCTTAGGGTGAAAACTGAAAACCTACAATCTCTACCGTCCATAAAAATCAATGGCTGAGATTCTGAATTTTTCTACGGTTGTAGCAATGCAGCAGTAAATTCATCAGTATGTGTTCTGTTTTTTAGCTTGTTATTCCTCTCTCCATCTTCACAATCTGGAAAATCAAACACAGACGCCATGAATTCATCGCCATTAAACTGTGAAGCTTTGGATTCTCTCGTCATCGAATTCGACAAATCAGAAAACCTCTTCTTGGACAACGAAGAGTCTTCTACTCTCTCTCCTCCTTCTTCCTCCTCTCTCTCTCTCCTCCACCTCCTTCTTCATCGTCATCTTCATCTGAGTCGTATCGAACACGCCTCCTGATTCGTCGGATTCGCCACCTGTTAGAGTCTGGTGATATTGACTCCACTTTGGTTCTCCTTTGTCTTCATACTCCTTCCATATTACATGATCTTCGCCTCTTTTTTGCCTTCAAAAGCAGGTTTCATTATTATCCCTTTTTTTTGTTTTAATTTGTAATTTCTCAAATAATTATGTTATTGCTGGAATTTTTGATTGATTTTGATTTTGATTTTTGTTTTTCAATTTGAAGAAATTTATTGAGTTATGATTGTTGATTTTTATTAAATTGACTTGTAATGTGGAAAGTAATTGACGATGAGAATAGTCTGAATTAATGAATTTGCATTTTAATTGTAGATTTTAATTGAGCAACATATTATAAATTGTAAATTAAGTTGAGCACTATTATGTTTCGATTGTCGTAACTTTGTTTTAGATTGTGTAGATCAATTCATTGAAGATTATAGCTGTATGGTTAAGTTCCTTTGTAAATCCATTTGAACAGAGTATTTTTATTTGATTGCTCCGATTGATTTTTTTTTTTTCTTTTATAGGGTTTGACATTTTTGGGCTGAAATTATGGGGCGCGACTGCTCTTTTCTTCGAATTGGTGGCTGTCAGAGCTATTAACGCGTGGTCGAGGGCGGCTAGCTGGGATTGTGCGTGTGAGAGGAGATGTGCAGGTGTTGGGAAGGAGATGAATTATTGTTGTGAGCTGCTGCTGTTGGTGTGTGTGAGGTGGAGCTGCGTGAGTGCAGAGGCATCTGGGGTCAAATGGGGTGGCGAGGTGGCTGAAATGCGCAGTGGCAGTAGTGATTTGCAATATATTTTCTATTTTTCTGGTATTGTTTAGTTCAACAATTGTTTTCTATATTGAATTTGGTGAATATTTGCACTCTGATTTTTCCAATCTTCTTAATATTACTAAATGCTACTGGTTTGTCATTAGATGGTCCCATGATCTGGATTGCAGAAATAGTTAAAAGTTCAGATGATGGATCTTCCATTGTTAATGCTCATGTTGATGGTGCTGAAATAAGCACAGTCATGATTAGGATGCAAGATACTGATGTGGAGATGCGATTCCCTTGTGAGAGTGCAAGTAACCATGATGATTGTAGCACTAGCAGCACTCATCAAAATAAGAACTTGAAGGTTTGCCAAAAGTCGTGCATTTGGCGATGCACTTGAATATTCATATCAGTTTTTGTATATAGTGAGTGACCTCTATATGGTCAAAATTGAAATAGTTATCCTATTTTTGTATATAGGACCTCTATATAAATGTTGTCATATTAATATAGTTACCTTACTTTTGTGTATAGTGACTTATGAGAATATGATCAAAATTGATATATTTACCCTATTTTTGTATATAGTGACCTTAATGTAAATGTTGTAAAAATTAATATAGTTACTCTATTTTTGTATATTTACGTTATTTTTATATATAGTAACTCTACGTTATTTTTTTTTAAACCGTTAGACCTTGTTAGTAATAATGGATGGTTGAGATTTTCTGTTTTTAGTTTTCACCATAAGCCCTGTTTTCAGCGGAACCTCCCCGTATATATATATATATATATATAGGGTCGGGATCCGGTGAGAACCACCTTCTATGTGAGAACAAATCTCAGCCATTAAATTGTATTAAATCGAACGGCTGTGATTAATCACATAAACCTCCTCCAAACCACTTAAATGTCTTCTCTCTCTACCCAGTTAACTGACTTCTCTCCACCACGAAGCTTCATCAATGGCGATTGATTAATCCATTTGAAGGCTTGACAATTTTGATTTCATCTTCTTCTTCACAAGTACGAATAACTTCGATTAAAGAATATGAAGGCTCGATAATTATCAAGGTTTGTTTAACTTTTCAATTTCGATTTTACTGCTCTGAAAATTTCGAATTGCATAAATTATTAAGGCACTGTAAGTTAATTTGATTTTGATTTTCGTTGTTGTCTAGATTTAATTTGAATTTCATATCAAGATTGTACGATTTTGATTACCAAAATTTGGGTTTCACATTTTTTAATTTCGATTTTAGTATTCTGGAAATTTTTGAATATGAATGTTCTTAATTTTGGTTATCGAGTTTGACAATCTAATTTTTGCTTGATTTTTTTACTTTGAGTATTCTCAATTTAGGATTTTCGTTAAAAACTTCAATAGGATTTTCAATTTTGCCTGTAGACAAGATCCTTGACACCATCGAGGAGGTTGCGGACGAGCTAGACTTGCAGGTCCGCAGGAGGAAGAAGTATGGTGTCGAAGACTTGGTTGGGCCTAAGGGTGATTTCATTGAAAGGAATGGTGTCCTTCCAACAAGTGTATTATTCCGATAGAGGGTTCAGAATTATTACAGAGCTAATTCTTCAGTAAGGTCAAGTGATCGGAATGCCTAGGTGGAGGCTGCTTCCGATCAGTAATATCGAGGTACAATTGGTATTACAGCTTAATCTTAACTGAACCCTTCGGGTCGAACCCAATCGAACCTCCGATCCGAGACGACGAGTTAATCCGAAAGGATTTAATGAGTCGACAGAGTTTTACGAATACAGACGTCGGAAATCGAGCCTAGGGCGTCGAGACCGAGCGTCGCAAAATCACAAGCAACAAGTATGAGCGTAGCCGTAGCTAGGCTAGGCGCACCATGGTGTGCTAGGCACCATCGCAGCCTAGGCGCGCCCTGGCAGCCCATCGCAAGCTAGCAGCATGCTAGCATGGGTGCCTGGGTGCGCATGGCAGCTATCGCAAGCCACACAAGCACCAGGTAGCCCATCGCAGCTAGCAGCGTGCTAGCGAGGGTGCCTGGGTGCTCATGGGTGCTATCGCTAGCCCATCGCACCAAGCACATCCATCGCAGCCCTATCGCACCAAGCACAACACCCTCGTGTGCGTGTGTGTGCATAGGCGCTCTCGCAACACCCTAGCATCACGCACAACACCATCGCAGTGCTAGGCACATGCGTGTGTGCGTGTGCGTGTGCAACGTCGCCCAGCAGCCTCGCAATGAGGCACCTAGCTGTGTGCTTGCGTGCGTGCCTTCGCATGGCAGCACCAAGCACAACATGCTAGCAAGGAGCACCAAGCCCAGCATGCGTGGCTCGCTAGCAGCACGCATGCTAGGCCTTGCGTGCGTAGTGCGCTGGTTGGGTGTGCGCATGCTTGCCTAGCTGGCTGGCAGTGCGAGAGACCCTGTGCGAGAGAGTGTGCGAGGGAGTGCTAGGCAGCAACAGCACTAGGCTATCAGCACCAGCGCCCAGCAGCTCGCAGCGTGCTAGGGCTGATGCGTGCTAGGCCAGTGCATGCTAGCACTGCTTGCTAGCACACCAAGCTGGCTGGCTGCCCAGCCTTGGTGCTAGGCGCCAGCTGGCAGCCTTGGCAGCCAAGGCAGGCTGCCAGCCCAGCTGTCCATGAGGTGCCGGTTTACGTGAGGGGTGGGGACCAAGCTTGGGCAAGGCTTTGAGGAGCAAGGCAATGGTCCCCCCCCCCCCCACCCATTCATGGTCCTCACGTAACCTTCTCTCTCTATTTGACACTTGTTGCATTGTGATTAGTTTTGTTTATTAATTTATTTTAGAAATAAATTAATTAGCAAAATAAACATTCTCCCACATTGGTTGGGGAATGAAATACAAGGGTTCATTTCCCTATAAATACCAAGCTTGGGTATTGGGAAATGAACAACCTTGAGTGGAATTAAAAAGGCAACTCTAGAAAAGAGTAAACCTTTGATTCGTAAAACTCATAGTTATTTTGTCCTGGTCTTGACTAACCTTCAAGACTTAGGACGCTCGGGTCGGGTCGAGGGTACGATCCGTCGGAGATCTCGTCTTTTCGGGATTTTGAAGTAAGAGCTCTTTGGGAGCGAAGCACGCGTCAAAGGTATAATTCTTGTCCTTAATCTTGTTTGATTAAGTTCATTATGCTTGTTTAATTGCTTTAATTAAGGGGCGGGTCTTGGTGGGTTTCCTTCCGCGTAGTGTCGGGTCACTACGAAACCCTACAGCGGTATCGGAGCCACGCTCCTTTTAATTTTTGCAATTATTGTTTAGTTAAGGTGTTTTAAAGAATTTAATTTTTCTGGTTCATGTTCATCTAATTAGATTAGATGCTTGTTTTAATTAATTTTTAAAACTCGATTTTATTTTCGATTTGGCTGTCGAACCCAAATTTTGGCTCAAAAATAGTGATTTTTGGGTGGAATCGACATTCTGGAACTGTTTCAGTCCTTTGAGGGTTGTCCAGAAGCCAAACTCGAACCAAAAACACAATTTTTCTGGGGTTTTTCGTTTTTCAACGAAAATTTTAATTCTTTTTAAGCCTTGATTAATGCAAGCATTACAAGGTTAGATTAAATGCACATTTGCATCACTAATCTACTGGTTTTAAAATATCCTTGAGCATAATAATGGAGTGTTTATTAGTGCTCAAGTTGATATACCAATTTATCACATAAACTTGTTTTTCACAAATTTTGCAAATAAATTGCAATAAGGTGTGAAACTTGTTATGATTTTGTATTTTAAGTTCCCAAGCAATGTTAAAGTTCTAATCTTTAAAAGTTTAAATGATTGGAACCCTAACCCTAAATTCCATGTTGAACAAAGTTTGGATTTTTTCATGTTTTGGTTGATTAAAATCCATTAAGTTCAATTACTTGTGAGTAAAATTTGATTAACCTTCATATTGGAAGATGTAATCTTGGTATTTTACACAAGTATGCAAGTTGGAAAATTTTTATCATTGGATGGTAAATTTATTTTTCCAACTCCCTTTTGTCAAATCCATGATTAATTTGCATATTGGCAAGATTAATTTTGGACATAGCTCATTTTATTTTAAGCATAAAGTTTGACCTAATTTTGTTCAAAAATTGAATTTTTGGATAAATTTAGGCTTGTGCACCAATAAAATAAATTTGTTTAAGTTAGACTTAATATTTGTTTTATTTTATTTTCCCTCAAAATTAATTCTAAAATTTGATTTAGAATTGATTATTGTCACACACAAATCGGAATTTAATTCTGAGTAAAATGCATGCAAAACGATGCAAAACCGCAAGCGTCACCAAGGCTAGCCGGGCTGCCTAGCAGCCCACATGTAGGCTGCCTGTGGTGCGCATATGGCTGTGCATCGCTTGGTGCGTGGCTGTGTGGCGAGGAGGGGCTGCTGTGTGGTGTGTGTGCTGGCGCATGGGGCCTTAGGCTGCTGGTATGCTTGTGCGGCTGCTGGGCAGCGAGGCAGCAAGCCCTAGCCAGCCAGCCCTCTGATGCTTGTACCAGCAAGCTGCTAGCATGCGTAGCATGCTGCTGGTGCTAGTTAGCTAGGCAGGCTGTGCTAGGCACACTTGCTAGCTGCCAGCACCACGCACCATGGCGCAGGGGCCATGGGTTGTCTAGCAGCCATGGTGCGCCATGCATCATAGGATGATGCCATTTTTTTTCTTAGTACTTGAGCTATGATTTTGCGATTTTTCCGTGTTAATAATTATAATTAATTATTTTAACGAGGCTAAAAACCTCGATTTTCGATTTTGCAAAATTTTGACAAATTACGGGTTATGCCGACTTAATTAATCGGATTAATTAAGTATGGATGCGGAATTTAGTGGGAGCTTAATTAAATGCGCTAGCATTTTGCGTTTAGAAATAAAGGATTAAACCACTTTGACTAGTTTTAATTAGGCGCGTTAATTGGATTAACGACCTAAGTTAGTTACTGGTTTTGCGTGTTTAATTATGTATTTCGTAAAATTGCATGGGCCGTTCACAAATAGTGAACGGGTGAATGAAAGATTGCTTTCAAAACAAGTTCTTTGAAAATGGCAACTAGTGGGGCCCGACTAGGATAGAAAATACGGATTGCGCTCCGTTATGTATTTTTGTAAATCTAAATACGGTCTGCGAACCGTTTGTACTAATTAGATTAATCTTTGTCGTTCTAGCTAGCTTCTTTTATTTCATTTTGGCCAAGAAGTCTCAAGACCGCGTTTTGACGAAGACGAGCCAAGATGAAGACCCATGGAAATTGAAGATTTCAAGGGGTCATGCTAGTTGCCAAATGCATCTATTTTTATGCCTTATATATTGTTATTATATATGTTTGCTAGATGCATGTCTAGGATTTCTATTATGTTGCGATGATTAGTTAAGTTCACTTAAATCAACCAACATAGAAACCCTAGGTCCCTTAATAATATTGAGCTAAAATTTGCCGTTCCAAGAATAACACTTACCGAACTAATGCGCGTACGTGATGGATTACGCCAAAGCGAGGCATCACTACTTCCCTAGGAACGTAAGGTATACTAAGTATACAAATTGTCTTGGTTAAGCTCAACGATATCAGTAAGAAGTCCTTAGATGTCGTGGCAAAAGAGATAAAATGTCAAGAATGCATTAGATG